CTACACTCTTGCTTTGGTTTACCTGATTTTCCATGCACCCTGTGGACTGTTTCATTCTTTTATTTTTTTTAGATGGGGTCTCTCCCTGTTGCCTAGGCTGGAGTTCAATGGCACAACTGTGGCTCACTGCAGCCTCAACCTCCCAGACTCTAGTGATCTTCCCATCTCAACCTCCTGAGTAGCTGGGACCATAGGTGTGTGCCACCATGCCTGGCTAATTTTGTTTTGTACGGATGGGGGTCTCACTACGTTGCCCAGGCTGGTCTCGAACTCTTGGCTTCAAGTGATCTTCCTGCCTTGGCCTCCCAGAGTGGTGGGATTATGGGCATGAACTACTGCCCAGCTATCTGTGAACCATTTCAAACTTCCACTTCCTTCAATATTCGCACACAGGTTTCCCCAATTGCCATACCTCCCCCAAGCCCTCCCCACAGAGGATGTGGCCTCATGCTTTACAGAGAAAACAGAACCACCAGAGTGAGATACCCCACTAATTCAAAGTTTACAGAAGCCATTCCTCCTCCCACCCAAGGTTAATCCCATCTCTTGAGCTGTCTCAGAAACCTTATGACCTCAGTGGCCCTTCTGTCTTGGGTAAGTTCAACCTCTCCTCACCAGGATCTTTCCCATTGACATTGGAGCACTTTTAAGTGCCCTCACTTACAAAACACACACACACACACACACATACACACACCAAGCACATAAATCCACACCTGCCTCCAGTCCTCACCCTCTCTCCCCTGAGCTTCTCAGTCACTTCCATACCTCCCACCTACCCCACCGTCAATCACTCAATCTGACCCATGACTCTGCTACAGCTTTCACTAGTGTCCCCAAAGACCTCAATATTATTCAATCCAACACGATGTGTTTTCAGTCCCACGTGAGCCCTCAGCATTGTCCAGTACTGAGAACTTTTTCCTCTACCTTTTTCTCTGGGTACTTGGGAAACAGTGGCCTTTGCCTCTCCTCCTGCCTTTCCAGTCAAACTCTTCCCCCTTTGACCAAGCCTTTGAGTGTTGGCCTCTCAGGTCTTGGGTCTAGGCCTTTCTGGAACACCCTTTTGCTAGGCAATCACATCCAGATGCTGGAGTTCAATTGTCACCTCTGTGCACACTATCTGCAAATGTTAATCTCCAGCTCAAACCTCACTTCGGAGGTTCTGACCCGTATCCTTGCTACTTGAAATTTCCTCTTGGCTTTCTCAAAGGCCTCTCAAAACGGTACATATTAAGACGTAACTCAATACTCTCATCCCTTCTCCTACTATCTCCAAATCCCAAACCTAATCCTTTGCAAGCTTCCTTATCTTGGTGAAAAGCATCCCTATCTATTCAGTTGTCCAAGTCATCCTTAATACTTCCTGTCTCACACTCCCAATATCCAAGTCCTGTTTGTGCTTACCTCTGAAATACATATTGAATGTATCCTCTTCATCTTTTCTATACCACTGCACAAGTCTGAGCATCATTACCTCCATCCTAGGACACTTCAGTGGGTTTCTAGTTGATCAGTGTGTATCTGCTCTGCCCACTCCCTGATCATTTACTCTCCCTGCTTTAAACCTGTGGATGCCTCACCACTGTATTCAGAATAAAGGCCAGACTCCTACCTCGGTTCAACCTGAGACTTGCTTTCCTCACAGCCACCCAGTCTCTCCCCACATCCAGTATTCCAGGCCTGGGATTCTACTGTTCACCTTGACAGGCCATGCATGCTGCTTTCTGTGCTAGGCATTTTCTTCCCTTCCCAGGCCTCATCACCATCTGCTCATCCCTTATATCTTAGATCAGATATTACTTCCTTCAGCAATTTCATCTCAATTCCTCAATTATATGAAATACCTTTGGAATAAACAGGCTCTTAAGAGCCTCCTATGCAATCTTCATTATAGCACTGCCACAGGTGCAGGTTGATGTCTTTCAATACAGTCATTCGATTAATCTATCTGCCCCACTGGAATGTAAGATTCAGTCAAATCAGGTTCGATACCTGGTTTGGGTAAGCAATGTACCCCAATGCCTAACACAGTACTTACTAAGTAGTAGACTGTCTATAAATGTTTATTAAATAAATGAATGAATGAGATCCAATACTTGTGCTCTTAACCACAATGCAAATAGAGATCTATGTTTTTGAGTTAAATTATAGGAAAATGACTTTTTAAATCTCACTTCTAATGACTAGGATTTTCCAAAGCTTGTCCACTAAAAAATCATTCACTTCTGTATTTCTTTCCTTTGACCTCACTACAGTTTGGTTGACTGTCTGAAATTCAGTGTTGAACACAGAGTACTTGCTCCATAAAATGCATGTTGAAAGGCTGAGCAAAAGGCTCAAGTAAAAGGATCCTTCAGTAGATTCATTATTTTAAAATGTACATCCACTGAATCAAAGTTAAAACATGAATGTCTTCTCAAGAGCATTAGTAAAGGATAACTACTTTTGTTTTTAGGTGACCTTGGGAGTAGGCAAGATTCTGAATTGTGTTTGGAATATAAGTGCTCAGATGACTGCTTTAAGAATAATCTGTACAAAAGTGTGCTAAAAGAACATTAATGTTGATATACAGCACTAGTTCTCTGAAGCAAAGTGAAAACACGTTGATGATTCATTACCCTCCGATGAAAACAGACATCTTTCATTTGAGTCTGTGTTCATGCCATGGTCACAAATGGATGTGGTGGGGAACTGCCCTATATATCTCTTTTTTTGTCTCAAACTAGCATGTAAGAAGGTGTTTCTCAAGTAGAGTTAACTAACATTGGAGACTCCAGCCTCTGCTGCCAAACAGGACACTAGCCAACATGCTGGCTTCCATGGTGAATGAGAAGTACAGGTGTTGGTGTCAGTTGCCAGCCATCAGCTGTGTGGGCCTATGAAGGTTATCTACACTCTCTGCACTACAGTTTCTCCATGGTTAAAAGAAAAGAAAAAGAAAGGGGAAAATAGGGAGGGGACAAGGAAGAAAAAGAGGAAGAGGAGGAGGGGAAGAAAAAAATATAACTCATCTTGGAGAGCTGTGGGAATAAGCACCATGAAGCCTAGCATAGAAGAGGTCTGCCCTGCCTTCACCATGTCTTCTTTCCATCCTTAAGTGGATGGAAGAGTAACTTTTGTAGCTAAAGACCACGGAATTTTGCTTCCAAATAACCAAACTATTTTTTCCAGTTCAACTCTCCACAATCTATTTCCCTGTGCATTTACTTCACATCAGGCCACCTGCTGGTGGACAATAGTTCTAGCTGACAACCACCACTATAGCTTATAAGCCTTGCATCCTTCTTTTCCTTCCTTTCTCCATTTTTCTGATTAGTGCTTGGAAAAGAAGAGAGCAAAAACAATAGTGCCTTTGCAGCTTGTATTATTAAAGTACAGTTTCAGAAAAGTAACTTTGCACCAGATCATATACAAAGGAAACCCCATCAGGCTAACAGCAGACTGTTCAGCAGAAACCTTATGAGCTAAGAGGGATTGGGCACCCACTTTCAGCACTCTTAAGTAAAAGATATTTCAACCAAGAATTTCATATCTCACCAAACTAAGCTTCAAAGGCAAAGAAGAAATAACTTTTTTTTTCCATATAAGCAACTGCTAGGGAATTTGTTACCTCTAGACCAGCCTTACAAAAGATCTTTAAGGAAGGTGTGTTAGTCTGTTTTCATGCAGCTGATAAGGACATACCTGAGACTGGGCAATTTACAAAAGAAAGAAGCTTATTGGACTTACAGTTCCACATGGCTGGGGAGGCCTCATAATCATGGTGGAAGGCAAGGAGGAGCAAGTCACCTCTTACATGCATAGCAGCAGGCAAAGACAGTTTGTGCAGGGAAGCTCCCATTTTTAAAACCATCAGATCTCGTGAAACTCACTTACCATCATGAGAACAGCATGGGAAAGACCTGCCCCCATGACTCAATCACCTCCCACTGGGTCCCTCCCACAACGTGTGGGAATTCAAGATGAGATTTGGGTAGGGACACAGCCAAACTACATCAGAAGCCTCCACATGGAAATTAAAGAACAACATCTTCTACCACAAAAACACACTTATGTACATAGCCCATAGACCCTAAAAAGCAACCACACAATAGGAACTACAAAGCAACCGGCTAACAACTTCACAACAGTATCAAAATCTCATATATCAATATTAACCCTGAATGCAAACAATCTAAAACTCTCCACTTAAAAGGCATGGAGTTGCAAATTGGATAAAGAAACACAATAATTCCATCTACTGTCTTCTAGAGGCCCATCTGACACATAATGACACCCACAGAATCAAAGTAAAGGCGTGGAGAAAGATCTATCATGCAAGCAGAAAACAAAAATAATATAAGAATAGCAGAGGTTGCTATTCCCATATTATATAAAACAGACTTTAAAACAACAACAGTTAAAAACAAAAAAGTGGATGGCACAGTAGGGTATTACATAATGATAAAGAGTTCAACTCAACAAGAAGACTTAGCTATCCTAAACACATATGCTCCGAACACTGGGGCACCCAGATTCATAAAACAACTACTTCTAGACCTACAGAAAGACTTACACCATCCCACAGTAATACTGGAAGACTTTAACATGCCACTGACAGCGTTAGACAGATCATCAAGGCAGAAAACTAACAAATAAATTCTGGACTTGAATTTCACACTTGACCAAGTAGACCTAATAGGCATCTACAGAATATTCCACTAATCGAAACAAAATATGCATTATTCTCATTTGCCCACGGAACACATTCCAAGATAAACTATATGACTGGCCATAAAGCAAGTCTCAATAAATTAAAAAAATATAGTAATCACACCAAACGTACTCCCAGACCACAGGGGAATTAAAATAGAAATCAATACCAAGATCTCCCCAAACCACACATTACATGGAAATTAGAAAACTTGCTCCTGAATGACTTTTAGGTAAATAACAAAACTAAGGCAGAAGTAAAAAAAAAAGTCTTTGAAATAAATGAAAACAGAGACACAACATACCCAAACTGCTGGGATGCAGCACAAGCACTGTGAAGAGAAAAGTTTATGACACTAAACACCTACCTCAAAAAGTTAACAAGATCTCAAACTAACAATCTAACATCACATCTAGAGGAACTAGAAAAACAAGAATAAACTGACCCCAAAACTAGCAGAAGAAAAGAATTGACTAAAACCAGAACTGAACAAAATTTAGATCCAAACATACATACAAAGAATCAACAAAACCAAAAGTTAGTTATTTGAACAAACAAGATTGATAGACAGTTAGCTAAATTAACAAAGAAACAGAAAATCCAAATAAACACAATCAGAAATGACATAGATGACACTACAACCAATCCCATAGACATGCAAAAAAATCCTCAGAGACTATTATGAACATCTCCATGCACACAATCTAGAAAATCTAGAGGAAACTGACACATTCCTGGAAACACACAACCTCCCCAGATTGAATCAGGAAGAAATTGAAACCTTGAACAGACCAATATCTAGTCCCAAAATTGAACTGGAAATAAAAATCTTACCAACCAAAAAAAGCCCTGGAGCAGATGGATTCACAGCCAAATTCTACCAGATGTACAAAGAAGAGCTAGTACCAATCCTACAGAAGTAATTCCAAAAAACTGAGGAGGAGGGACTGACTCCTCCCTAACCGACTCTACACAGCCAGCATCACCCTGATACCAAAATCTGGCAAAGACACAATGAAAAAAAAGGTTTCAGGCCAAAATCCCTGATAAATATAGACACAAAAATCCTCAGTAAAATACTAGCAAACTGAATCCAGCAATATATCAAAAAGTTAATTCACCAGGATCAAGTAGGCTTCATTTCTGGGATGCAAGGTTGGTTCAACAAATGCAAATCAATAAATGTGATTCACAGCATAAACAGAATTAAAACAAAAATCATGTGATCACTTCAATAAACGCAGAAAAAGTCTTTGATAAAATCCAACATCCTTTCATGTTAAAAACCTTCAACAGACTAGTCATCAAAGGAAAATACCTCAAAATAATAAAAGCCATCTGTGACAAACCCACAGCCAACATTTGAATGGGCGAAAGCTGGAAGCTGGAAGCTGGAAGCATTCCCTTTGAGAACTGGAACAAGACAAAGATGCCCACTCTCACTGCTCCTACTTAACATAGTACTGGAAGTCCTAGCCAGAGCAATCAGGCAAGAGAAAGAAATAAAAGGCATTCAAATAGGAAAACAAGAAGTCAAATGATCTCTCTTTGCTGACAAAATGATTCTACACCTAGAAAACCCTAAAGACTCTACCAAAAGCCTCCCAGAATGGGTAAACAACTTCAATAAAATTTCAGGATACAAAAACCAATGTACAAAAATCAGTACCATTTGTACACATCAATAATATTCAAGCTGAGAGTCAAATCATTTCCAATAGCTACAATAAAAATAAAATACCTAAGAGTACCTAGGAGGTGAAAGATCTCTACAAAGAACTACAAAACACTGCTGAAGGACATCATACATGACATAAACAAACGGAAAAACATGCCATGTTCATGGATTGGAAAAATTAGTACCATTAACACGGCCATACTGTCCCAGGCAATTTACAGAGTCAATGCTATCCCTATCAGACTACTGATGTCATTTTTCACAGAATTAAAAATATCATTCTGAAATGTATTTGGAACCAAAAAGAGCCCAAATAGTCAGAGCACTCTTAAGCAAAAAGAACAAAGCTGGAGGCATCACACTACCCAACTTCAAACTATACTATAAGGCAACAGTAATCAAAATAGCATTGGCTGGGCATGGTGGCTCACATCTGTCATCCTAGCACTTTGGGAGGCCAAGGCAGGTGGATTACTTAAGGTCAGGAGTTCAAGACCAGTCTGGCCAACATGATGTAACCCCTTCTCTACTAAAAATTAGCCGGTGCAGTGGTGGGCACCTGTAATTCCAGCTACTAGGGATGCTGAGGTGGGAGAATTGCTTGAACCCATGAGGTGGAGGTTGCAGTGAGCCAAGATCACGCCACTGTGCTCCAGCCTGGGCAACACAGTAAGACTCCATCTCAAAAAAAAAATAAATAAAAATAAAATAAAAAAATATAAAATGATAAGAAAAACCCCAAACAGCATGGTACTGGTACAAAAACAGACACACAGAACAATGGAACAGAATAAAGAACCCAAACATAAAGCTGTACAACTCCAGCCATGTGATCTTCAACAAAGTCAACAGAAACAAGCAATGAGGAAAAGACTTTATTCAATAAAGCTGGGCTAGCTGACTAGCCATATGCAGAATGAAACTAGACCACTACATTTCACCATATGCAAAAATTAACTCAAGATGGATTAAAGATTTAAAAGTAAAACGTCAGCATCGTGGTTCACACATGTAATTCCAGCACTTAGGGAGGCAGAGGTTGGGGCGATAGCTTGAGCCCAGGAGTTTGGGACTTGCCTGGGCAATGTAGTAAGACCCGGTTCTCCAAACAAAAGAAAAAAAAAAAAGACAAAATAGAAAAGAATCCTAGAAGAAGACCTAGGAAACACCATTTTCTGAATTTTGGCCTTGAATTTGACTAAAAAGCAATTGCAACATAAACAAAATCTGACAAATGGGACCTAATTAAACTAAGGAGCTTCTGCACAGCAAAAGAAATTATCAATAGAGTAAACAGACAACCTACAGAATGGGAGAAAATATTCTCATACTGTGCATCCAACAAGGGTTTAATGTCCAGAATCTATAAGGAACTTAAACAAACCAACAAGCAAAAACCAAACAACCCTGTTAAAAAGTAGGCAAAATGCATGAACAGACATTACTCAATAGAAAACATACAAGAGCCCATCAACAGTGGATTGGATAAAGAATATCTGGCACATATATGCCATGGAATACTATGCAGCCATAAAAAATGACATCATATCTTTTGCAGCAACATGGATGCAGCTGGAGGCCACTATCTTAAGTGAATTAACATCAGAACAGAAAATCAAATACCGCATGACTTGGTTATAAGTGGGAGCTAAATATCACGTACTCATGGGCATAAATGTGGCAACAATAGACACGGGAAACTAATACAGGGAGGAGAGAGGAAAGGGGGCAAAGGTTGAAAAACTAACTGTTGGGTGTTATGCTCACTACTTGGGTGATGGGATTATTCACACCCCAAACCTTAGCATCATGTAATATATCCATATAACAAACCTGTACATGTAACCCTTGAATTGAAAATAAAGGTTGAAATTATTTCGGAAAAGGAAAGTAACTGCACACAAAGCTCAATTTGCAATTGCATAGAGCACACCTATGCAATTCTCTCATGTTCTTTATTTGTTACACAAAACACAAAATTTTAACTGATCAGGATGTGAGCTAGCAAAATGCTATCGTAAAACATAGGTGAGAGTTCAGGAAGGTAGTAAATACAGGATGTTGAGTATTATAAGTAAGAAATTACCCACAACACTCATGCTACTCAATTTGGCATAAGAGACCAAACTTTTTAAAAAAATTATAAAGTGACATAGTGACAATGTGACACGGGAGGGCACTGGGTCAAAAGATGGTTACAAAGTTAATTATCTGTATCCCTTTCCTCTGGATAAAGAACTTGCATAATCTGACTTCTCACCAAATCCTGTTCTCCCCTCATACTTTCCCACACTGTGTCAGGGAAACGCTTTAGGACCATATGAAATCCTGGCTGATTTAGCTTCAGCCTTTTCCTTTAAATAGAAACTGGAAAAACTAGTTACATTCACCATTCTGCAAAGCAATTAACCTTGTAGACTTTATAATGATAAAAATATTAATAAATTCACTGTGTAATTTTTATAATTTAAGAGCAAAGTTCCATAGTCTTTATAAATGGTTATACCCTCTATTATTAGAGGGTGCACAATAATTTCTAAAGTATATAACTTAGGGCAACTCAACAAAATCAATGTCTAATATTTTGCAAAATGCAAATATAATCTAACGCCAGTGTGCTCCACTGCGTTCTCATATTTGCTACTTGAATAAAATGCAGTAGCTACACGGGCTGCTGCTGTGAAGTGTGTGACTTCTGGGTTTTAATGCAATTTTTTTCTTCTTAGGGAAATAGTATGGGTCTGAAATGAGTTCTGGAGAGAGGTAGACAAAGCAAACGGGGGGATTTTTTTTTTGCTCCCAGCTCATAATGGGAAAAATAGAGTAAGAAGCAAATTTTGTTGTAGAATGTATACCGATCTGCTCTTAATGTGCTACATATTGAAGAATTCTGGACATGCAATATCAGCACAGTTTGTGATCCTGTTTTTCTCTGGCCTCAGGTCTCTGGGGAAGCAGATGTGAGATGTGCTAGTGGCAGCTGCCGCCAGGTCAGTGCCAGGCTGCAACGGCCTGCGATGTTGATGTATGGACAACTTCTCAGCCTGAGAGAGGCACATCCCGCAGAACTCCTTTTGCTAGTATTCCACACTGTGTCTTCAGTGTGTGCCAGTCAACAGAACACAGAGTCCAAGCTAATTTGGGGTTGCCAGTCCAGAAGGATCCTGCCTAAAGTTCTGCCGACTATGGAGCAATGAGATGCTGCTGAGATCATGACAGTTTGCATGAATGTCTTCATTCAAGAATAAGGCAGCAGACTGGGCACGGTGGCTCACGCCTGTAATCCCAGAACTTTCGGAGGCTATGGTGGACGGACCACCCGAGGTCAGGAGTTCGAGACCAGCCTGGCCAACATGGCGAAACCTCATCTCCACTAAAAATACAAAAACTAGTTGGGCATGATGGCACATGCCTGTAATCCCAGCTACTCGGGATGCTGAGGCAGGAGAATCGCCTGATCTTGGGAGGCGGAGCTTGCAGTGAGCTGAGATTGTGCCATTGCACTCCAGCCTGGGCGTCGCAGCAAGATTCTGTCACAGAAAAAAAAAAAAAAAAAAGAATAGGGCAGCAAGCTTGATTTGCTTTCCTTGGTAGGACAGATCCAGTGGATGAATTCGGCCCTTTCTTCAAAATGTCGGCAGTGGATTGGACGT